AGGAAGTGGTGTTCAGGAAAAAAAAAAGAAAGAAAAAAGTATCAAGGAGAAGAGTATGATCAGCAGTATCAAAGGCTGTAGAGAGGTCAATAAGAAAGAACTCTGAGAAAAGACCACTGGATAGTTCAGGTAATACCTGTTGCTTCAGTTTCTCAAGGGAGAATCCAGTGAGCAAAATGTTATGAATACAGAAGATGGAATTTACAACATTGCTATCAACTGAACTAAGTCATCATAGGGCTCTCTTTTGTGAATGGGATCTTTCTTTTTAAGGATAATCCAAGGATTAGAACAATGGGAAGAATGAATAAATTTTGCCCCTCAGCTTAATGTTCAAAATGGAAGAGAACTTGTAATCATCAAATCCTACATTCCCCTTATGGGTAAGCCAAGGGCAAGAGAGTGAATTCGCCCGCTACATGGCCAGTTATCTGGAAGTCACAATTAGATCCCAGGTCTATCTTCTGAATCACACTCCAGTGACCATTCCATTCTGCCATGATGCCTAGGAAAATTTAAAAATGTCCACATTCCCCTTTAAACAAAATTTGCTCAGGTCTTAGGGCATGAAATTAAGAAGCAGGGAGAAGTGCTTTTTATATTTCCTTGTTATCCTGAAACCTCTCCAGTGAAAACAATCAAACTAATGTACCACTATACGCATACTAGAAATTCTAATCCTGTGCTCGAAATTTCAAACTTGATATTTTGAAACTACGTTCTGTAGAACTGTGACTTCTTCTAGAAGCTTTTTAGGATTTTGTGGGGATATGTGGCAAGATGGGTTAAACTTAAGGATTTTGGTAGAAATTACCACTTTCTCCCTCCATGTTTAACTGTTTACCTATGCATGAGGGAAATATTTCTTACTCTTATTCCTTTGTTATTGTTGTTTTCTGTACCAAAATTATATTTTCATCTTTGGCTTTCTGTATTATATTTGTCTCCTCCTACAAACAAGGGCCAGTGCAGAAACAATGGCACAGAATTGTCCTTATTAGGCAGAAATGTACTTGGGCATTTCTGTGCCAGTGAAAGGATATGTTCAGTCCCTATCCCCATCCCTTTTTAGTAAAATGATTCTGTTAAAGAAAAACAAAAGAAATAGATGCCAACCTATCCCCACTTACTAACTCTAAAACACATTTATTATAGTATTTCTTAATGATTCAATGCCATGTCTCCTATCTTTGTGTATTTGCAAAACCATTTTAACTCTTTGTACCTACAATATGTCTCTGCATTGTCTTTAGGCCACATATAATTTGATTCCTGAAAAGCTGTGGCATTCCAAGACTCACAACCATATAGTATTCACAAGAACATTCAAAGTAAGAGAGATAGCACAGTGAAATAAACAGAGTGCTAGACTTAGAGACAAGAAGATCTGAGCTCAGATCTTTCTTAGAAGATTTGAGGTAGCTTGCTGGCACAGTGGATGGAGTTCTTTACCTGGCATCAGAAAGACATGAATTCAAATTTGGTTTCAGATACTTACTAGCTATGCAATGCTGGGGGAGATCATTAAAACTCTGCTTGCCTCAGCTTCCTCATTTGTAAAATGGGGTAATAACAGTAACTACCTACCAGGATTGTTGTAAGAATCAAATGATATGAAAATTTATAAAAGAGCTTTGTAAACCTTAAACTCTACCTAACTGCTAGCTATTATGATGGGAAGCTTTCTCTCAGCCTTACTCTTTTCATCTGTATATTAGGAATAGTACTATCTATAGTATCTCTAGTACTTAACTCACAGGCTTATTCTGAAGATAAAATGGAATGCCCTTTAGAAACCTGAAAGAGTTATAAAAATGTCATTTATTATTATTATAAAAATAAGATTAATTTTTCACCAAGAACCTTAGGATTACTAAAAGTACTATTTAATTCCCCAAATGAAAGCTATCCAGAATTCTTCTTTCTTTTCAATATTTGGCCCAATTAAATCATCCTTTGATATGTTTGTCCAAGGTACTGATGGACTTTCATTTCAATGGCATGGCATAATGGAGAAGGCATTCCTTGTCCTTGTATTTTTGACATAAATTTTTAGGCATATCTCTTTTGAGTTATCTTGAATCTCATTAAGGAACACCTCAAGGTTTGGGGGCAATGGAGTTATTGCAATTAACACATTATCTACAAACACCAACATAGAAGATTCCATGGTAAAGCACTTTTTGTTACCATCTATTGAACATTCCATGATGAATTGTCACCATCTCTAATATTTAGTTAAAATTGGTATGTAACATATTACATTAACATTTTTATGTCAACTGATGATAATTAATATTGAGAGGCAATTGGGATAGTTATATGTCATGAATAAGGATTCACAGAGGGAGAGCCTGAGGGTGCCCCTGATTCCCATAAAGTGCAAAAAGATCTAAAGGAAAGACATCAGGAGGTTGGATGGATTTTTTGTGATAGATCTATGGAAAGATATGGATAAGAGTAATATTTCATGAGGGGACATAGATGTGTTACAGTTTAAACCAATAAAGCAGTGACCAAATTCGTGAGACCACAGTTCCATTGGAGTATATTTACTTATCACGTAATATAATAATAATAGCATTTACATAATGTATTTAGGTTTGCGTATGTGTGTATGTGTATGTGTGTGATCTCATTTGATCATCCAATTAATTTAAAAGCATTTATTAAGGACTCACTATTTTTTTGGTCTCTATACTGTTTTAGGGACACAAAGAATGGTCAAAATTGTCCTTGTCATTAAGGACCTCACATTATAATGGGAGAGACTATATGTATATCTACTTATGTAAAAAATATGCAGATGGTAGATAGAAGGTCATCTCAGTGGTGAATTGGAAGACCAGGAAGGGTATCCTACAGAAGGTGGAATCTGAGTTGAGATTTGAGCTATATTGAGTAGGAAAGGGAATTGCTCTTAACCTAAGCAGTATCTTGTAACTGTAATGCACACATTAGTATTGGACTAATATTGCCAGTAGAATAAAGGGATTTCACTATGCCTACTTATGCATGCATTTATTATAATATGATTTGAAATTTATTGTACTTGGGATAATTATGAATATTCTTTTCAAAGAATGGCAGTTTCACTGGTCAGCAAAAAACCCCCACAAAATTATAATTGTACAAAAAGACATTTGAATTCATGTCATGAATAGGTTTTGTTGTTGTTCAGTTGTTTCAGTTGTATCTGACTCTTTGTGACCCCATTTGGGACTTTCTTGGCACAGATAGTGGAGTGGTTTGCCATTTCTTTCTCTAGCTCATTTTATGGTTGAGGAAACTGAGGCAAACAGGGTTAAGAGATTTGCCCAGGGTCACATAGCTAGCAAAGTTTCTGAGGCCAAATTTGAACTCAGGGCCTCCTGACTCCAGGGCCAACAATCTAAACAATCTGCACCACCTATCTGCCCCATGAATAGGAATAATACACAAATATACAAACAAAAATGTCAGTTTTACCATTTCTCAACATGCATAATTCCTCATCTATTTTTCTCTTAACTAACATGAATATAAACTCTTCTCTCTGTGGTGTTCTTTTCCCCTAAAATTTGGTTTAGGAGGAGGAGGAGGAGGAGATGGTGTAGGAATAGGAGTAGTAGTAATAGCATTTTTATACTACATCCTATGTACCGGTCACCATGGTAAGCACATTACAAATATTATTTCATTTAATTCTCACAACCACCCTGGGAGATAGATGCTATTATTATCATCATAATTTTACAGTTGAGAAAAATAAGGCAAACAGAGGTTAGGTGACTTATCCAAGGCTGCCCAGATAGTAAATGTTCGAGTTTATATTTAACTCAGGTATTTACACCTTATATATTTCAATCTTATTCTTCATACATACTCATTTGAAAATTCATTTACAGTCAAATGCTGTCACCAATAACAGACTCACCAAATGTCGACACAAACAGAAATCAAAATGTTGTGCATTTTGCACAACACTGGGCAGCAAGGTAATAAAGGATTTAAGCCTTCTGGGGACTGAGGGATTCTGCTTATAGATCATTGGAAACTGATCAGACACATAGATTACAATGTAATATTTTCCATAGTGTGTTTCCTGACATATTCATTAAAGCTGAAAGAATGCAGAATCAGAACTTTCTGGTGCTCCATAATGCAACTTGGATAAGGAGAGACTGCAAAGATTTAAAGCAACAACAGAAACAACAAGAAAAAAAAATAGGACATTGTGGAAAACGACTTTTACTTCTGTAGTAGTGACTGATGCTATTGGAATTAGTTATACATCACCTGGGGCACTTAGGTGGTACAGTGGATAGGGCACTAGGTCTGAAGTCAGGAAGACCTGAGTTCAAATTCAGCCTCAGACTAGCTCATGATCCTGGGCAAATCACTTAACCTTGTTTGCCTTGGCATCCTCATTTGTTTAAAAAAAAAAAAAGAGTTGAAGGAGGAAATGGCAAATTACTCCAGGATCTTTGCCAAGAAAATCCTAAATGGGGTCATGAAGAGGTGGACACAATTGAAAGTACTGAACAACATATATCTCTTAGTTATGGTTGCAATTCCAGTCAATATAGCAACCTGGGACAACTCCTCTGTAATCTATTAAGACAGAGACTTGAGTACCTTAAAAAGGGTTATACCATTTTTTGATAATATTCAATTCAACAACTAATTACAGGGCACCTCCCATATTCTCCTAAAGCTAGCCTAGAATAAGAGAAGTCAATTGTAGTAGCACTTAAACCCTGAATGGTTCATGAAAGCAATCTTAAACATCAGAAAAGACAAATAAGCACTCCAAAGGAAACAGACATAGTGTAGAAGAGCAAAGCTGAGAAAAGCCAAGTATATAGATTCATTCCAAAATGTCATAATAGTGTTAATATAGTCTCAGAGTCACAATCCATAACTCATCCAGATGTATTGTAAAATTACCTGTTTCTTCAAGCAGTAGTAATACAGCTTAAAATTGTGAAACATATTGACATGTGTCTGTTTCCTGACAGATACTCAGTGGATCGACACACTGATTTGGACAGAATATTCAATATCCACTCTGCAAATGGGTCAATCTTCACATTGAAACCCCTTGACCGAGAAGCATATCCCTGGCACAACATTACCATTACTGCAACTGAAATTAGTAAGTTGAAGATTAATCTATCCAAAGCTATTATGTTTTTACTGGTACATATCCATACTTTACAAGAATCACCCTTATGAAGTTGTGTTTTTCTTTTTTATATTACACCATTTTAGCATAGCTTCTCTTTTTACATCATATTCATTTCTGAAAATATTTTTTCTATTATTAATATTACATTGATTATAGGAAGAAGTAGATTTTGTTGATGGGGTCATAATCAGGAAGATTTAGGAGCATCGATGCAAAAATACACAGAGACAAAAACAAACAAGGGGATAGAGGATACAAACAGAAACAGACTGAGGGAAAAAAACATTCAGATAGTTAAAGAGACAGAAACAAAGAGAATCCAAGCCTTCTTTGGTGTCAAGATGACCTAGGTTCAAGTCCTAGATTGGATCCATTCTATTGTTAAGGCAAAGTCACTTAATTTCTCAGAGCACCAGACAATCATCTAAGACTATAGGATACAAATAAGTTTCCTACCTGAATCAGTGGAGGGAGTTGTTTCTGCACTGAAAATTCCCTATACTAATGAAATAACAGATCTGTGCTAAGTCCCAGAGTAATGTTTATACATACATATATTCATACATACCTCCATATATACATAACATTTTAGGTCTCTTCTTTGATCATGGGCTAGAGAAAACAACATGAGTTAAATCATTTATCATGCTAAGATAATTAGTTAACAGGATTAATAGCATATTCTAATTTTTAATACCTTCTTTTTTTATTTGGGTTTTGTAAGTATACTGAAATGTTCATAAGTGATCTAATCTAGAAAACGAAAAATCATAGAAGTGACTTGTTGCTAGGTTACAAATGGTGCAAGTGACATCACTGTGATTTTGTAAATGAGACAAAAGTTGTTTGTGTTTTTTTTTCATTCCAGATAACCCAAAGCAAAGTAGTCACATTCCTGTCTTCATCAGAATTTTAGACATAAATGACCATGCACCAGAGTTTGCCAAATATTATGAAACATTTGTTTGTGAAAATGCAAAACCTGGGCAGGTAAATGCATGATATATACAAAATTGTGTTTTCTATCCCTCTCCTCTCCTCCTCCTCCTCTTCTTCCTCCTCTTCGTCCCTCTGTCTCTGTCTCTCTGTCTTTCTCTGTCTGTCTGTCTCTGTCTCTGTCTATCTCTATCTCTGTCTCTCTGTCCCTGTCTCTGTCTCTGTCTCTCTCTCTCTTTCTCTCCCTTTCTCTCTTCTATTTACCTTTATTTAGGCAGATGAGCCTGAGAAGATTTCATTTTGATTCTTTCTCCAAATTTCTTTTACACACATCAATGTACTGCAATGTGAATAGCTTGTTTTCATTCCACTCTGCCACCTGCCTATTTTATGTATGGACTCACAGCTTCCACTGACTTCAAAGAAAATACCTTGTTGATGATGTTGTTATAGATACCCAGGGATACAAGTAGAGAAGAAAAATATGATTTGCATTAATTTATTCAGCAAACATATAATGAAGATGATATAGATCCCAGACTATTTTGCATAGTCATTGTTACGCTGATGTTAAGTGGCACTCATCAAATTACTGGGATGAAATCCTTATTGAAGCTATCTGCAGTCCGAAAAAAGTGAACTTTACTTACAATAAAGAAAATGATGAGTGATAATTCTTTTATTGATTATTTTATCTGCTTTTTAGGAGCTCTGCCAGGAGAGCTTGCTTTGCCATTATTTTAATGGTCCTGGCTAATATTGACCATGCAAGGATTTTCCCTAGAAATATATGATTCTAAATAATAGTCATAAAATTTTCTGGTTGAAAATTCATAAATTGAAATGTAAAATGGGGATAGATAATAAAATTATGTTCTTGGGATATATTATCTTAAAGTAGATCTAAACACCTCATAAATATGTTAAATGTATCAGCATTAAAATCATTCATAACCACATAGTAAAGTAAATTTTGTTAAAAGATATTAAAGTGTTACCATGACTTATATTAATGACTGAGTGGCCCATATAAAACCATGCATATATGTACATGTGTATGCATTCACACTGAAACTCTGTGTCTTTGGTAGTCATTCTGGAGAAGGATTATATTTTGGTGTAAATGAAAGAATACACCCTCATGATGCATATCATAGCTTCACTCAAAGGAGGAGCTCTCTCAGTTTTACACTTTCAAAAGTTTTTTTTTTCAGCTCCATTGAAAAGAACTTTGCAAACTTAAGAGAAAAGCAAATTGAAAAAGGGATACTCTTAATTCAATTATAAATATAGTGCAGTATAAATTTCAATTACAGATCCTTAGGCAAACATTTCAGGATGGTCACCATGACCTAATAATTCCAAGATTTTAAAAAAAAAGCCATTAAAGATATTCCTCTCAGATAAGCTGATGAGACTTTAGATTTCATAGAGAAAATGATAGTGTCCAAGACAAGATAAGAGATGATAAGTCATGTTGCACTCTGCCCTTGTCAGATCACTTTTGGAGGGTAGTATAGTATTCTGGGAGCCATATTTTAAGAAATATAAGCTGGACAGTATTTGAAGGACCATTAAAATGAAGGACCTTAAGATCATGGTTTTTGAATAAATGATCAAAGGAACTAAGGATACTTAGACTAGAGAAAAGAAGACTTGGGGTGGAAGGTCTTAGTATCACCATCTATAAGTATTTGAAGGGATGTTACACTGAAGATAGAATAGACATGTTCTGCTAAGTCCCACATGGTAGAATTAAGAGTACTAAGTGAAAGTTGGTAAAAGCTTGATAAACTTTGCATTTATTTAACTTGATTTAAATAACATGTAAGGGAAAACAACAATTATAGTAAACTAAACTGAAAATGGCTATCTTGAGAGTTAGTGGTTTCCTTATAACTGAAATCTTCAGACATAGGATAAATGATGACTTTTCAGGTAAATTGTAGAGAGGATTCTTGTTCAGTTACTGGCTAAACTAGGTAAGATTTGAAGTCCCTTCCAACTCTGAGAATCTGTGATTCAATGATGTCTTAGGTAGATTTGCCTGCCATTAGATATGGCAATTAAGAGATCTCTAGGGTAGAGAAGTTTCAGTTGAATGATGAAGTCAGAAATCAGACTATAAACAGTTAAGAAAAGAGGAAAGGAAGTGGAAGCATCTATTGCAGATAACTTTCTCACTCCATTTTCTAGCTGCAGCTCTGCTTGGTTTCACCTCCATGGAACAAGGTGCCCCTGGCTGGGTAATCACTACCCACCCATTGTACCTAATCAAGGAATTTAGCTACGAAAGGTGAAGAGGTATAGGATGACAACTAGAAGAGATGGATATATCAAGTTAGAGTTTTTTTGAGGATGGAGGAAACATGGGCGTGTTTGTAGGCAGTAGGGAAGCAGCCAGTAGATGTGGGGAGATTGAAAATAAGTGAAAAAAGTAGGATAATAGAGAGTGCTATCTGTTGGAGAAGACAGGGTAGAATGGGATGACTTATAGAAATAGAGTGCTTTGCCTTGGCAAGGCTAAAGGACACCTCTTCATGTGTGAAGCAGCAGAAGGAATATGGGAAATGTGAGGTGAAGAAGAGGTGAACAGAGAAAGCTTTCTGTGAATGAATGACCTCATTTTTTTTTCATGAGGCAAGTTTCTCACTTCAGAGGATGAGGCGAGTAGGAATTATGAAAGTTTGAAGAAAGATGAAAAGGTTTAGAAAACCTGCTCTGGCAAGTGGAATAGTGAGTCAATCAGAAAAGTGTAGATTTGTCTCATTTCGGTGGGATTACATAACATAAATTCATAGTGAATCTAGTCAGCACAGTTTCATAATTTTCTCCGGTTTCTTCTCTTTATTACTTATCAAAGGAGTTGAGATGAATTTAGTGTGAAGAAGATACAAATGCATCAAACTAATTTACTCTAATATAAGGTAAACTGCTTTACTCTAAGGTCTGTCAAGTTAGAAAGCCTGCTTAACCTTCCAAGGTTATTGTCAGTCAGTCAATTGATGAATATTTATTAAGTGCTTACTAAATTCCAGGCACTGTGCAAAGCTCTAGTGGCAAAAAAATAAAAATAAAAAAAAAATGAAAGGCAATCTCTGCCCTTCACAAACTCAAAATCTAATGGAGCAGACAACACGCAAACTACTACTTGTAAATAAGGATAAATAAGGCATAATTAATAGAGAGAAGCCACTAGAAAGAGAGTTTGGAAAAGGCTTCCTATAGAAGGTGGAACTTTAGTTGGGATTTGAAGGAAGCTAGGGAAATTAGGAGGAAAGATGAGGAGGGAGAACATTCCAGGCATGGGAGGCTAGCCAGTCAAAATGTCTGGAGTTTGGATATGAAATCTTGTGTGGGAGGAAGATTACAAAGGCCAGGGCCACTGGATAAAAGAAAATTCAAGGGGGTATATAAGATATAAGAAGACTGGAAAGATAGAAAGGGGGAGGGAAACATTATGAAGGGCAATGAACACCACAGGACTTTATATTTGACATTTTAAAAGAAGGTTCTTGTGAAGCCTTATATCATTGAACCAAATAACTAATAATGGATTTTTGTCCTTGTGACAAAATGAGTTAAAAAAAAAATTAGTGCGGTGAAATATACTGTGATAGGGACATTCTCAGAACTCAAATTTTCCTGTCTACTCTGTCTACTATGGCCAGCTTGCCCTATTCAAAGGTCATACTCCCTAGTGATTTTAAATGTTTTTGTTTCGTTTTTTTCTCCCTGACTTACACTCCTTACCATAGGAATGCATGGAGCATGAAGTGGGTGTATACATATACGCCTAGCACACCCAGAAATAATGATTATTTCTTACCCTTAGTCCCATACTCTAGGCACACTCATGCTCCCTATCAATGACTGACCTACTTAAAATGGCTTCATATGGTATGGCACTTTTACTTGATATAGCCTTCTTTCTCTCTCTAGTCATCATCACACCTAATTTCCTGCTTCACTTTTACCCTGCACAAATTCCAGATTAAGGAAAGCTATATATGTAGAACACAGTACTCAAGAGTACCACTGGTAAGTCTAATGGTTTTAGACAGACTTTCAGAGCAAAGGAATTTTGAATGTGCACTATGTCAGTTTCATTTAATGTTTAGTAATTACTTCTTCATCATCAAAATTCAAGGCAGCTCAGTCAGGCAGAATTTATAGTGAGAAGTGAATTATATAATCATGCTCATTATGAAGTATGTTACTCATCTCAGTTATTTCACTTTATTTTTGAGTTCATCTGAAGTGTTGAAGTCTATGAAAAATCAAACTCTCTTAGTGATATGTCAGAGAACTGCACTTCTAATTAAGATATAACTGGATCTCCGGATGTAGAGAACACACTACCTGGTTAATTTTAAAACCTACTGATATTTAAAATTAAGCTCAAGTGTATCACTTAAAATCTCAGTCACTATGGAAGCTAATGAATCATCTATAACACTACATTATTCTATATCATTTCCAAGTTATCTCTTTCCAAAATTAGTATGTTCAAGAATTTAGACACACCTATAATCAGATATTGAATTAATAGGACTTCATTTACCTAAATTACTCTGAGCCTCTGTTTCCTTCTCTACAAAATGATAGCATTGCACTAAGTTTCTCTAGGGTCATCCTAACTCTAAAACAGTAAGAGTCTATGGAAATGAATATAAATCACTACACAAAAGTCAAAATATGGCTCACAGTTTTGTATTATTAATAGTAGCACTACTGCTGCTGCTGCTGCTACTACTACTACTCCTACTGATGATAATGATGATGATTATTACTTAACAGTTTGAAAAATACTTTACCTGCCTTCCGTTCTGGTATCTATTAAAATTCCACTTTCTGCAAGAATCCTTTCCTGATCCTGCTTAATGTTAGTGACTTCCTTCTAATGTTATCTTCAATTTCTCTTGTCTATATAGTGTCATTACATAATTGTTCCCGTGTTGTCTCCCCTATTAGCTAATAGGTTTCTTGAGAGCAGGGACTTTTTACTTTTCATTTCTGTGGAACCATAGCACTTAGCCCAGTGCCTAGCACAT